TATAAGAAAAGAAAAACCTGCTTGCCTAATTTTTGCACCAATTTGTAATAACATTTTAATAATGATTGATTTTGCAGAAGTAAAAACTTCTTACACGTGGCATCAATCGGCTGTGAGAGAGCACGTGAGTTTTGGGGTCCACAAGAAGCAAGTTTATGTGAATAATGACAATTATTACAGTAACTCGAAATTCAGATAAGACAATAATTGGCTAAATATATTTTTGGTAGAATAAATCTTAAAATTATTAAATTTCTTTTAAAATAAATGAATTACATCATAATTATTTAAAAATAAATTTAATAATTCTGAAATTCATTCTGATTAAATTTTATTTAAGATATCTTATTTTTTTAGGTATTTTCAAATATATTATATATTATACATACATTTACTTGCTTAGGCCATTCAAGCCAAGTTGAATGGATCAACTATCAAAGTTAGTAATTAATTTATCTATTTTTCTCAAAAATAACTTGATTTAAGAAAAAAATATACTTTCAAATTGAGATTCAATGGCCTAGATGAGTACAATAATAGGAAGGATCCGAATATGTTGCATATGTGATGCTACACTAATATCTAGCCCTCATAAATGAGATGTTATCATTCAAATTAGTTGAGTTTTATAAAAGATTGATACTTTAAAGACTAGTGCATACCTTAGAATTGAAATCCATAGAATCGTGCATTTTGATATGAAGATATCCACATATCACTTTTTCCATGTGGCAATAATAACATTCGTATATATGGCTTCTCCCAATAATTATAAGAGATTTGATCATTGATGTCAACAATGTAAACCCTAGAGATATAAGGAGTGCAAGCCCCTTAATACATCTTAAGTTAATGTTTTGATAACATTTAAAATAAAAAGATAATGATGATGATGATAGTTATATTATTATTATTATTGATAAAATTTAAAGGTGTCAAGATCAAATTAGGTCTATTAAAAGATCAATCAAATATGAAATTCTTGGCCACTTCATCTAAGATCAATGTGTTTAATTATTTTCTTACACAATATCATATAAGATATGATTTATCTTATGGAAGTCGTTGTTCACTGTCACTGTTGTATTGATTGACATCTCACATTCTTGGCACTTTGTTATTGCCAACAATGCCTACATGACATCAGATAGTTAAATAAATGCCAAAGTTAATATTGTTTAGCAAGTTTGATATAGAACCATTAAAATTATGACTTGTAGATTTGATCAATTTGTGAATCATTTATGGCATTGAATTGTTCTCAAGATGATAAATATTTCACTTAAAAGATGATGTTCATCATGCTTTATTTATTGCCCAACTCTATTATTAAAAAAAAAATTTGATATTACTAAGAATCCTATAGAATTTTAGTTACCAAGACACTTTTAATGTTAGATTGCTCTCGAATAGATAAATACTTTAAATACTAAGTCAATTGCCCATTGACATCATTTTCTCAAAGAAGTTCCTAAAATTATTTTGACTAAACAAATATCAAAATTTTGATTTATTAACTCCATTGTATTCAAGTTGTAAGAGTTTAAGAATGAAACTTTTGGTAAGTGTACATGGGTATCCTTCTTTTCTCATTCATCGTCATTTGGTTGCAGAAGAGGATTGTTATATGTCTCTGTTACAGATTCATCACCTTTGGAGGAAACATGGATTGGAATATTGAGATATAGGGCATCAGACATATCAGAAAGCGGAGGGGCAAGAACACGAAGTGAATTAATTTTAAGTGCCTTACTCTTGCTAAAAAAAGTTCTTTGAGCATTTCTAGTTCTCCCTAATCCCCTTCCTCTTTTAGGGGTCAAGGGGACAAGTGACTTGAAATTAGTTGACTTTTGGACATGAAGAAGTTTCATGCCCAAAAGTAGCATAGTCTTTGCATGGAAACTCTCAACATGCCTTCTATCTTGCAATTAAAAATAGTGAAAAATGCTCCAAATCACATTTGTGAATTTAATCGTAATTAATAGAATTTAAAAACAAATTTAATAAGATGAAATTTAATCTAATTTTTTTATAATAATTTTGCTTTTAATTTTAAACTATTATTTAAATATATGCCTTTGAACTTAAATTCCCTTAGAAGAGAAGTAACGATCAAACATCCAATTTAACCAATTAAGGGTCTGTTTGGGGCAGCTACAGCTTATTGGATAATCCGCTAATAAATTGATTAAAAATAATTTGCTGATAAGCTAGGTGCGGTAGCTATTACAATTTTTTATTTTTTTTAAAAAGTCAGACCGCAACCAGAAAGCTGCCACCGCACCTAAACATGTGCGGTGTGAAAACTCTGTTTTCAGCATTTTGAAAACGCATAGGCTGCCAAAACACAGTTTACCCAAACAGGTCAGGTGTGTTTTAAAACGTCACCGCACCAAATAAGTTGTTCCGAACGGACCCTAAATTAACAGATACATAATCAAGCAAATTTGACCATTTCTACAAACTTTTGTGCAATAGTTGAACTACTCGTAATTCGGTTAAGGATGGGTTAGGAGTAATATTAAATTTTTAAGAGGACTAATATGAAAATTAATTAATTATTTTTAAGCCTTTTTTTTTTATCGTCATTCAGTCGAACTCTTGACCAACAAAATCACTTTATAAAAATTGTTATGTAAGAAGCCATTTTAATTAAGGTAGATAACTTACACATATAAATAAATAAATAAAATTAAGACAAATGTGAAATTTTCTTATAAAAAATATAGAAAGAACTATGAAATATTTTCAATTAAAATAATTATGATAATAATAAACATGAATTACGGTAAATTATTCTTATCTAAAGTTAGGAGTGCCATTGAGGATGATAGAGATGATCCTACTCTTGTAGGTAGGGTTAACATAAGCTTTGGCGGATAAGATGGTGCTTAAAGGTTAGAATGACCACTAAACATGTTTGTGGCGATCTCTTCTTTAGAGACTAGAACAACTAAACTTGAACGCAAAGTCTAGATCATCACAAAAAGACTTGGTGGTGACTGCGATTAATCATATTTACATTTCTAAAAATGGAAAAAAAAACATGGCATGAAAGTTGCCAGTAATGAAACATAGAAGGTCACGGAAGTTTTTGGGTGGTTAAGATGATCTTATTTCGAGAAGTGAAGACAACATTATAGAATCCGTAGTTTTGATCATAAAAATACCTAGTTGGTGGATTTAGGGTCTGTTTGGGGCAGCCACAGTTTATTGAATAATCCGTTGATAAACTTATTAAAAATAATTTGCTGATAAGCTAGGTGCGGTGGCTTTGAAATTTTTATTTTCTTGGAAAAGTCAAACCACTGTCGGAAAGCTACCACCGCACGTAGATAGATGCGGTGTGAAAACACTGCTTTCAGCGTTTTCAAAACGCATAAGCTGCCAAAACGCAGTTTACCCAACCAATCCAGGTGTGTTTTCAAAACGTCATCGCACCAAATAAGCTGCCCCAAACGGACCCTTCATGATTTAAAATAGTTAGTTTTAGGATTAAAAATCCATTGTTTTGAACATAAAAATACCTGATGCTTTCCACATCCTAAAATCTAAAGGTGATATAGAATATATAAGCTTAGCCGTTATCAACTAAACAGAATAAAATAAATAAATAAATAAGCAACAAAACACATACCAACATTTGGAAGGATATTTTAATGATAATTTATTTTACTTGAGAGATCTAAATTGCTTTTGATGCATAGTTATAGCCTTGTTAGCCCTTATTTGTTCTTTTCCTAGATGAATGGGATTAATATTTAAATATTCTATCTCTCATATCCATAAATAATATAAAAGTCCACCAAAAATACCTCCAAAAAAAGGCCACATAATGACTTAGGATTTACACCTAAAATTTAGCGAATTTCAAAAGAGAATTTTTGAAAAATGCTCTTTAAAATTTCTCCCCAATTTTAATCGAGCAGTCCTAAATTTATTTCTTCAAATTTCTAATTCAAAAATTGCTTCAAGTTTAAGCCTAATTGGATGTAAACATTCATATAAATTCTATTTTTTAGTCTGCACGACTGTTAATAAAAAGATGTTCATTTATTTTGAAGGGGCATTTACATGCATGTCATTCAATTATTACGGATTACATATCTAATACCTAATCATTCCTACCACTCAAACTATTTAATATCACATCAAATTAAAGTTAAATACACGTTTTTCATGTACTTAATGATGCCAAAATGTTGTCAGTGTAAATATCTAACTTTGGGTGCTAGGTATGTAAATACATAAGAATTATGCGGCATGCATGTAAATTTCCCTATTTTGAAATATTCTTTACCTTTCCACTTCCAGGATTGCAAAGCAGTCCAGCTAACGGCTGATGATTTCTCTACACCAGCATTAGTAGGAAAAAAAAAAAAAAGATAAAATATTAAAAAAAGAGGGGTAAGCATTGAATTACCAGTCTTTGAAAGGACTTTGAAAGTTAGCACAACTGCTGCTTCTAGTCATCTAAATAAAATTTTTAATCAAGTCATAATTTTCATTCGCCCAACATACTTTGACTAAAAAATAATAATTTTTTTTAGAAATTAAGAGTTATTAAATTGTTTAGCCGCTTGCACTTAGTTGTGATTTAGGGTCTGTTTGGTGTAGTTGTAACTCATTGAATAACCTGTTGATAAGTTGATTAAAAACAATCTGCTGATAAGCTAAGTGCGGTGGCTATTATAAATTTTTATTTGTTTGGAAAAGCCAGACCCTAACTAGAAAGCTATTATAGGTGCAGTGTGAAAACGTTATTTTCAGCATTTTGAAAACACATAAGCTGCCAAAATGCAATTTATTCAAACAGATCAGGTGCGTTTTTAAAATGTCACTACACCATATAAGCTGTCCCAAACGGGCTCTTAATAAAGCCCTTTCCACTGATTTTATACCATTGACGGATAAAAATCAAGTTGATGTCCGCCCTATTCAATTCAATTATCATGAAAAGGTAAATTAGAAAAGGTCTTATTTATAATCTACATGGGTGCTATTTGCTTCTTGAGAATTATAGAGTAACACAACTAAACATATTAAAGCCGGTAGTTGGCCGCCACCGGCAGAACTCACATAATTGAAGCAACGACTTTAAATAAAACAGCGAAGTTATTCAATGCACCAACAACCTGCTGCTAGCCAACAAAAGCTTTTTAATACGTACCGAACTCTTGTACTCTTAATATAACATGATCATTGTGCTGCTAAATTAATTTTGGCGAATTTACATACCCAGCACACAACTATTATGAATTTACATATCTCACATCTAAATTTCCATATTCACATACTGAAAAAGTTATAATAGTTTAGCGATATGCGTGCAAAAATGAAAGTTTAGGTTTTGGATATGTAAATACAAAAGAATTGTGTGTTATGTATGTAAATGCACCTTAATTTTTCACTAACTTGTGTCTCCAAGTAGAGTAACTGTAGTGATCTTTACTCGCAGCACTTACGCCAGAGAGAAGGGTGGCTCTCTCAACCAAGATATTCGATCTGTCGTCGATTCGGTACGAGATGTCGACTCCTTCGAGAATCAAATGATAAATGACACCAGGAGGTTCATCACCACCATTTTCTGAGAGAAATGAGAATCCATGGTTTTCACATTCAATAATCCCATGATGTGGTCTGCTCCGCTGGGAAAAGGACCTGATGTCCCAGGAGAGAACCTCCTTGATAAAACTCTGGAATTCATCCATGGATGAATATAATGAATTTTTCTCCTGAAAGCAATTTAATTACTTCTTAGCTACAAATGAAAAATCTATGTCAGACTTCTAATGGATTATAGTTCAATGAATAATGGTTTTTGTTGATGAAATGTTTATGGCGAATAATAAATATCAGCTCAGCACGAGATCTTTATCAAGTTGAATTTGAGAGAAGTCAGCTCACAAAAATTTCCATAGTTCATTCCAAAACTTTTTTTAACACCCAAAGGTGATGTTTGGCTGCTACCTGATTTTATGTTAAATAGGGCTTATCAAATCCAATAAATTTGGATATATCAAATCCAGTGCGACGGTGAAGGAACTTACGAGCAACGACGGAGTAAATCCCTTAAATCCGTCTCGCAATCGGATTTAGTAAATTCAAATTTACATTGTAGTAAAAGCGGTGGAACACGAGAAACAGAGACGAAACATGAAAAATTTTGATTTAAAAGAGCGTTTGGATATAATTTTCATTTTTTTTTTTTGATGTTTGCCTGGATTTATCTTTAAATCCATGCCTAAATCCTATCAAAATCATGCTACCAAAGACCCCTAAGTATCAGAAAATGCCCAGTACTTGAGGTTCTCAATAAAAACTGGACAATAACGAATGAGATAGAGATTCAAAGATGATTTCGCCTGAATACTCAGCAATAAAGACAATACATGACTCAAATAAATTTTTAAATGGTGTTGAAACTGGAACTTACGTTTTTCAACCAGCAGATAGATAGAGTAGAATTAAATTCCGCAGAAAAGCTAATTGAAGATACGGCCAATGCATTTTCCTCCTGGATGGTTTTGGAGGGTGACAGTTAGAAGTTAGCTAATCATTAAATAAGTAAAAAGGGAAAACAGGATCTGTAAGTTCAAGCCCAAGCAATTATTATTGTATTGATAGAAGAACGTGTCCTGAATTAAAATGTTGTGTACAAAAATGTGTATTTAATTTGTATGCATCAGAAATCTGATAGTAATGATGAATATATTCATGTGACGCATAGAAAAGTTCTAATCATTTATTACTCAACATAAGAAATGTTTCGGCACTAATCCTGAGAAGATCTAAAGGTCCAAAGGAGAAGAGTACAACGAGGGAAGAGCCCACCAACAAAATAAAGTGAGACCCACTTTTCCGACTGTCCGAGCCAAAGCAAATAATACCAAAGCCGACCGAGCCACGTGGATAGAAAGACGACCAAATGATCCTAGTCTGAACCGTTCAAAAAGAACCAAATTTTGGAATACATGAATATTTCCTGAGGAAAATCTTATTTTAGACATGCAACTAACCCGTGCAACATTCTCAGACGCTTAAGATTAGGAACTTGGGGCACATGACGGAGCACATGCAGGAATGTCTTGTGAATTTGAACTAAATTTTAGGAGATTTTATTGTTATTTGTACAAAGGTGTTACTATTGAAAATGTGTGGAACTATTTCATTTAAGACTTTTTGTCTGATAGTGCAGAGAGATTGTAGATCTGGTGGTGAAAAATTGACCTAGTGTTTTATCACAATTTTTATTTGAGTTTGTTGATGAGCCATCGAGTCTCCTAAAAATCTGGTACAGATTTTTTTTAATGCATCATTTTTCTCTATATGTGAACTAAGAGTTCACTACATGTTTCATTTGAGCTTGTTTGGTAAGTTGAGTTTCTTGAGCATGCAAGATTTCTCATTGGGGCCCTAAAATTTGTCTTATGTCTACTACTACGAAAGTGGTGCAGATCTATTGGGAGTGTGCAAAATTTCATTTTTGGATGATAAAATAAATCACCTTCTATTTGCTAGCGAGTGCATTGTGAATCCATAGGCAATAAAAATTTTCAAATTTTCCAAATATATTTGAAGTTTATCATCTCTTTCTGATCACTCATTTGAGTGCTCAAATAGACCCCACAAATCATAAGACAGTTTCAAATAAATTTAATTAGTTGATAAAAAGCCTCGTTTGCTTTTATGAGTTTGTGTGTGTTTCACCCCATATTTTATTCAAGCCTGTTGACGAGTCGTTGAGTCTCCTTTAAATGTTATGTAGTTTTATTAATAAAAAATGAGATTCTTGTCAAATCAAGGTTGTTCCAATGAATGCTGAAGTTTGATGTACAAGGTGATCAGTTCCTCTATAGTTTGGAACATCGCAGAATTTTTATACAAGTTTGATGTACAAGGTGATCATACAATGTCAATCACGAGGGACAGTAAGAGGTTCCTTACAAAGGGTGTAAAATTTGTATCATGCAAAAACAGTAAGAGGTTCCATACAAAGAGTGTAAAATTGTATCATGCAAAAATGTTGTGTGCCTAGAAAGTGAAGCTCGTATATATGTGTTGACCCCTCATTCTCCTATACACAATCATGCAAGTAGAATACCCCGCACAAAACCATTCGATGCTCAAACCAATGCTTGCACTAAGTTGAACCATCATATGAAGATTCTCTCCCGCAATAAATTATAACTATAATATTTTAAAACTATAACAAACTATAACTACAACTAGAACTATATTATAACTATAGTTATAGTATCCTACAACATACTATACTATAACTAAAGATATATTATTCTACAACTATAATTAACCATAACTACAATATAACTATAGCTATAGTATTGTACAAAATACTGCATAATAGCTATAGCTATAATATTCTACAATTATAACTAATTATAATCACAACTATAAAAACACTATAACTATAACTATAGTATTTTAGAACATACTATATTATAACTATAATTATTGTTCTGCAATTATAACTACAAATACAACCATACCTACATATTAACTATAGTAACGTTAATATGTGTCGACCCCTCATTCTCCTATACATAATCATCCAAGTAGAATGTCAACCAGACCGGAGAGTGTTTGCCCTACACAAAACCCTTCGGTGCTCAAACCAATGCTTGCACTAGGTGGAAACATTATAAGAAGATTCTCTCCGATAATAAATTATAATGATAACTGTAATATTCTAAAACTATAACAAACACTATGACTATAAACTTAACTATAATATAGTTATAGTATCCTACAACATTCTACACTATAGATATATTATTCTACAATTATAATTAACTATAACTATAATATAATTATAGCTATAATATTGTACAACATACTACATAATAACTACAGTCATAATATTCTACAATTATAAATAATTATAACCATAACTATAACAACACTATGACTATAAACGTAACTATAATATTCTACAACATACTATATTATAACTATAGTTATTTTATGCAATTATAATTAACTACAGATACAACTATAACTACATATTAACTATAGCTATAGTACTCTAGAGCTATAACTACATTAAATCACACTATATCATGTAACACTATGTAATATTATACTATATTAATATTACAATTACAATTATAACTATAGCTATAGAATTCTACAAAATATTACATTATAATTATAGTTATGATATTAAACAGCTAAAACTAACTGTAACTAAAACTATAACTACAAAATACCATAGCTATAGTATTTTACAATGTACTACATTATAATAGCTATAGTATTCAACAACATACTATGCTATAACAATAGCAATAGAATTCTACAACTATTACAAAATATAACTAAATCAAAATCTATATAATAACAATAACTACAGTATACAACATACTACATTATAACAATAGCAAAAGAATTCTACAATTATAATTATAACTATAACTATAACTATACTATAATTATAACTATAATATTCTAAAACATACTAAACCATAAATATAGCTATAGTGTTCTACACTATAACAAACAATAATAACATTAAGTTAGACTACACTATATAACACTATAACTATAGCTATAGTATTCTACAATAATACTGATTATAGAACTAGAAGTAAAGTATTTTACAACTATAACAAACTATAACTACCAACTAGAATTAAACAATAACAATAGTCATAATATTCTAAAACATACAACACTACAGTATATCTATAATATTCTACGAATTATAACTAACTATGCCTACACTATAGCTATAGCTATAATATTCTACAAATATAATTAACGATAACTACAACTAAAATTAAACAATAACCATAGATATAATATCTACAAAAATGTAACTAATTACAACTGCAACCGTAATTACAGTATAACTATAATCGTTGTATTCTACAATTATAACTAATTATAACTATAACAATAACTACACTACAGTTACAACTATAATATTCTATAACTGTACCTAACTATAAGTACATTAAATTACACTATACTACATAAAACTACAATTAACTATACCTATAGTATTATGAAACATACTAAAGTAGAGCTATAGTTATAACATTCTAGAACTATATCTAACTATAACTATAGTACTCTACAACATACTATATTATAACTAAAACTATAGTACTTTACAACTATAACTATCATTTCAAATATAATGACACTATAACTACAAGTATATTATTCTACAACATATTACAGTGAAATTATAGCTATAGTATTTTACAACAATAACTAGTTATAACAAGTATAACTACATCATAACTACAGCTACAATATTCTACAACAAACTACACTATAACTACAATAACAGCATTCTACAACCACAACTAATCATAACTACACTCCACCATAAAATACTATAACAAACTATAGCTATAACATTCTACAACAATAAAGAACTATAAACTAAACTATAACTATAAATATAGAACACTACAACATCCTACACAATAACTATAGCTATAGTATTCTACAACTATAATTAACAATAACAAAAACCTAAAACTATAATTAATAAATTATTTGTGTCGGAATATTTTGATGTAAATGAACGGAAATAATATTACTGATGCCTGAATTAACGTCAGAAAAAGTCGTACGTAAATCAGACGCAAATCCGATAATAACCCTCAAATATCATCAGATTTACGTCCAATTTACGTCTGATCCGTCCGACGCAAAAATGCTTAATTCCTGTAGTGAAAAAGGCTATAATGAAAATTACCTTCAACCATTTGGGAATAGTTGCTCCTTGAACGTTATCAGAGTATGGCAAGTAAGGTTTGACATCAAGTACTGGCTGTTGATAAACCATAAGCACATTATCATATTAAAACTGCCAATTCAACAAGAAGAAGTTTAGAACTACAAAGCTTCTATCTAACATACTGAGATACGTAAGGCTTGTTTGGAATCACTTTTTTTATTTTTTACTTTTTACTTTTACTTTAAACATAAATTTGTTCAGTCCATTTTTTGCATATTTTTATTTTTTGTTTTGAAAAACAAATTATTTTTTTCTTAAAAACACTTAAATATCTAAAAAATTATCAAGTATTTTTAAAAGCAACTAAACATGTTATAATATATCAACCGTGTTTTATTTTAAGTAAGAACATGCACAAAATTTAAAAAAAAAATGATCCCAAACAGCCTTTTAAATTTATGAGACAAAGATCCCACCGTTCCATCTACCAGATCTATTCCTGAAAGCAGAAGTGCATTTCCTTCAAGTGCCTCAATCTGGAAAACAACTCAAGAAATGAGAAAAGAATGAATGGCTTGCCTTTGTAAAACACAAACATTGAATTGAGATGAGAAAAAAACGCAACACAATGTGGATACATTTATAATATAACCATATTGATAAAGTTTTCTTTTAAATTTTATAATTTGTCTATATTTACATTACTTGATGTCAATATTCTCCATCAAAAAGTATCACATAATAAAGCACAATATCATAAACATGACAAAAAAAAACTTAATATCACCCAGTTGATCTTGACATCATGGTTATCATCATCAACAAGTTTCCTTCAATAGAACCTTCACCAACATAAATTAAAAAAAAAAATACAGTTTGTAAAGCTAGCTTGTCTAAATAATAAATTTTATAATCATCATATGTTTTGGCCATGTCAACGTATTTGTTTGCCGTATAGGGGAGTGTCATGGAGTCATGAACATGTCCAACTTTAATTTTGGGGAAAAAAAAACATTAGAGAATATTTCATTGCAAAGAATGTCAGTGGTACGCTAACAGCCTACATTTGTCTAACATCAACACAAAAGGCTTTTAAAATATATGTCCGTCACTGCTCAAGTAACTTACGCTTCATACTTCCATACTAAAGGCATGTTGGCCCTATGCAATGAGCATAATATAATAATACGCATTTCAGAAATTGTAACAAACACTGTATTGAGGGGTTTCCTGTATGTGTGATATGGAGTCAAATTGAGCGAGCCAAACTATATATTTTAAAAAAAATAAAAAATTTCAATTTCACATCAGGCCAGGCTCAACTCAAATCTATTAAGTTTGAAAAAATTTTTTTACCTATATATATATATATATATATATATATATTTATTTATTTGTTTATTTATTTATTTATTTATCTTTATATGTATCTATAGATGTACATATGTATCTATATAAGTATCTATATATGTATGTGTCCAGTAAATTTCGAGTTAAATTAAATTAATTAAAAACAAGACATATTCAAGTTGAGTAAAAAGATAGTGGTATCTGAGTGGATTAAGACGTTGGCCTGGTTTCAAACATAATTATCAACTCTAATTTCTTCTGTGCTCTGTGGCAAGATAAGCTGCAACAAAGCAAGCATATTGATATTTAATTCACAAAGCTGGCTTTTCACATAACTCTACTGTGAGAGCAACAAAAAAGCAGTTTTTCCGAAAGGGTATGGTGAAAAAGGATTAAAAAGTACTGTTATCAACGAACTTCACAGACAACATTACAACCAAATATTCGATCAAATTAGTTTCATGTATTTGGTAACTGCCATGAGACTCTTTGGTTTCATGTATTTCAAAAAAATTAAACCTAAGAGGGTATTAGTAATTCTATCAAAATAAAAGCACGGCTCATTAACAAAGTACAAGCTGAATAGAGTACATCTGAGAAAAACATTAAAGAAACATCTCAGGGTATATGATCGATCACGAATGCTGAGTGGCAATGAAGACATAGAATGGAAATTTAGAAAAAAAAACAGTTTTTGTTCCTTCAGTTAACATTTTCTAGCGAGGAAATCATAATAGGAAGTGAGAACAATTAGCCCTGATGAACTTATATCCACCACAATTACCTTAAATCTCACTCTTTTTTCTGTATAAGAAAAATTTGAAGTCACACTTTACTGCAATAGAACTATATAGGGGTGTAAAAATTTGACCGGACATACCAACCCAAACTTGACTCAAAGAATCCGAGTCCAGGTTAACCCAAATAAATTTCGGGTCAGGTTCAGGTTAGAAATCCTAACCAATTTAATTTTTCAAATGGGGTCCAGGTCCACCCGTCATATTGAAATAGACCAGAAACTGGCCCGCTAAACTAAAATTGACTTAAAATAGATCTGAATAATTATTATACCTTAAATTAAATGGGTTAGCGGGTTGAAGACTGGTTGGGTTCAGTTTGAATTTTCTAACCCATTCAATATTCAAGTTGGATTCAGGTCAAGTATTTTTGGGTCGGGTCAATTTTAGGTTTGTCCTCAACCTGATCCACAAACCTAACCTAACACCGTAGAATAATATACTTGCAATGTGTTCGCAGTTGATAGCAAGAATTTAGTTCAATTAAAATTAAAACAAACTAAGGGCATAGCTTAATAAGCGAACTGACAGTATACTTCCATTGTGAGGAATCTTCAACATACGGCTCTCGATTAAATATGTTTATAGAATCTTACCTTTGCAACAGAAAGACCAATAGGACAAGGCCTATGTGGTGATCTTGTGGCAAGGACTCCCATCTTGCCACCTTCAAGTCTAGGGACTCTCACCTGTCAAACATATGATTAAGCAATAGACCAGATGTATTTCCCAAGTAAGCAAGTTAAGGAGGTAATCTAGAACACATTGAGCCAGAAACAAACAAACCTTTGCCTTAAATTTTGATCTGGAGGTTTGTTTCCACAACTTCTCAAGGTCGGTGTTCAGATGAAATACGTACAAGACCCAACAATGCGAGTATTCACCAAGTCCATCTAATGCAGCAGCTGGAACTCGGCTGGAATCAAACAATAAGCATGCTCTAGAAAGAGGGACTAGTAAGGGTTGTCTCGGTGTACCATTCCTAAATGAAGATTATAATCAAAGGCAGGTATACACAAAAAAAAGTAAATGTGCACCAAGATTCATAGTTTTAACACAAGATGCAACTCGATCCCTTACAAGTATTTATTTATTTATTTATTACTTTTTTTTTCTTCACACAACAAAGAACGGACAGACAACTTTTTAATTTTTTTGCCATTTTTGGCTCAATATATTTTAAATATGAAATAAACACAATTTCCTCATTAAAATTTTGTTATGCCACCATCATTAAACAGCAGAGGCATTTAAATATATAGCACTTGGTTCTTTTGCATTTACATATCTAACACCTCAACTTTACATTTTACTTATACCACCCAAATCTTTCATATAAACTCAAAATACCACCACTTCAAATTTTAAAAAGTGAAATACACCTTTTCATGCATAGGTGAGGTGGCATACATGTAAAATTTGAAATTTAGATGTTAGATAATTTAGATGTTAGATATGTAAATATGTAAATACATAGGAATTGATTGGTATGTATGTAAATATTCCTAAACAATATGCTCCAGCATGATGCAGCTCAAAAAATTCTATTGCATTCCCACCTATGGAAGGCTATCAACAGAATTCAAGTTGACATTCATGCATGATTGTCATTTTAGCGCCTTTAATTACCTCGATAAGTTTATGTTATGCACCATGCAACATATCAGGTGTCCTTCTTGGCATGTGTTGATTGTTATAAAGGTTTTTTAAGTCTCTAAGGCTAATTTGTTTTCATGTTTGTTGTATAGAGTTCACTTTTTCTTTTTACAAAAGTGTAAATTAATATAAATAATTACCATAGGTTATGCAAAATACATACTTGATCTTAGAATGAATGAAAATTGATTTCCTACTTTCTCTTTAAAGGTAGATGCTTCTATAATCCTAGCTCTCATCAAACCTTCCCCTTCACTCTCTACATCCTCTCTCTACCCATATTTCTCTCTCATACTCCTTTACCAAGCTCTCCACACATTTATTCATATGCTCTCTTCCTCTCCCTTAAGTTCTCTCTTATTTCCACACTCCCTCTCTCTATACATACTATCAATAACAAAATCTTTTTCTTTCACTCAAACTTCCCTTCCTTCTCTCCCACTTCTGTCTCCCTAACAACCAATTCCTTTCACTCTCACTCACAAAAATATATCCATTCCCAATGCATTATTTGCTCCAAGTGATTCTTTTTCCGATCCATAGTATCTCCCTCCCAATCTTGATAAGAGGTTGCCAAGCTTACTGACAATAATAATGTTATGAATGTTATTTGAAAGATGTCACTTGCTTGGTTTAGTAGCATCTTTAATTGTGTGAGATCAAGATGTTGTCAAATTTGGGCCATCTAATGTCACATCAAGAAAATAATAAGTTATCATACTTTGATCCGTTAATTCACTTATATAACTCCTTCGAACCAAACAAATAACATAAAACCAAACAATAGTTAATAATTCTTTCGCACTCTACAAATTATCCAAGGATTGCTACTTTCTCTCCTTACCTATAATTCATGTCTTGGATTCCCCATTTTTCTTTTTGGCAATTTTGAGTTGAAATATCTTACGTACTAATTTTGTACTATAATGGATATGAAGAATGAATTAAAATCTAAATTGTCTTTTATGGGACTTTTTTTGGAAATTCAGCGGGCCTTCAGTCTTAACTTTGTGCTTTAATGAATTTAATGAAAGATGCATGCAGTGACCCAGCCTTCAGTCTTGCAAAATGTCGACAACTAATTGCTTGTCGATCCCATGCTTGATGATCTGACAAACCCATTAAGGATTGAATTTCCTTTAATTCATACTCGAGTTTTGATGATCTTCACAATAACTTTTTTGATCCCGTGTTTTGTGTTTTATTGGCCTTGTTAAAGAAGAAAGACTTTTTCAATCTGTGCTTTATGCAATGATTAAAAATTCAATTTAATGTTAGCTTGAGCAAAAATAAATCCTTTGATTTCTCCTTAAAACTTGACTAATTAAAATCTCTTTAATCTATTCCACCTGACATTATCAAGTCGAATATAATAAAAACTTAATAATACTTATCAGACTGATCAAACGAGAGCTCTCTTATAGCAGCTATTCTTATGGCATTCCGAGTAAGACAAGTTGTCAGTGACTTGGTCATTTTTGGGCGTGTTGAATCCGAACTTCTTGATCCATTTAAGTTCTAGACTAGAGCTATAGAAGAACTTCTCTTCTAACTAATCTAGAAGTCTACTTGATGAATTCTTAGTATTTTGGTTGGTCAAAGAGATCAACTTTTATAATTTTTAGAATTTTCTTGTATATATTTTGCTTGATAGTTAATTAAATAGATATTTGGAGACTTTGGCATAAATTACAATATTAAGACAAATGTTTCCAAGCTTGCAAGAAAAATTTGGCATTAAACTTGGGATTTTGACTCAACGCATGATATCCACCCAAATATCTTCTTCCTTACATGGGAAATTTTTTTCATCATTTTTGGGGATCTCAACATAACACACAACGTCAACCTAAATAAAATGCCCATTGTCTTATAGAAGGAATTTCAATAATATATATATATATAATTTCAAGTACGTTTAGTTCAGCAATTACCATTTATATGACTAATCAAAGATGAAAATAACAGATTCGCCATAAATAGATGTGTTGCTAAAATTTACCCAGAGAGCCAAGTAATATAGGTGTTATTTCTAGATAACTTTAAAGTTTCAAAATGCACATGCACAACCCATTTCGTGAAAGATGATGTTTGGGCCATCTCAATGACGGTTGAGTTGTTTGACGTTGATTCACATAATGACCCGTACATAACCTGCTCAATCGAATTGATCATGAAAGACTTCTTTGTTACGCCGCCGGTATGTGAACCGGTCCAAAATCCTCCAACCAGCCAGGCGGGCCGGACGCTTCCATGAGAAGAACAAGAGCGGCGGGCTGCTGCGACAGCAAAAAAAAAAAAAGGAGCGGGTTGCTGCGCAGATAAAAAAAGGGAGCAATGGGAATCTACGAGGGCCTTAATGACATATTAAAGGAGAAAAAATTAAAGGAATTTGGAGGGAAGGCTTGGAAGGAAAGTTTTTGAAATACTGAGAGAGGATTCTATTAATGGAAGTAGCCTTGAGTTTGTTTTTTCATGCATGTATTTTGGTGGTTGCTGTATTTTTTTTTTCTTTTGGTGGTGTTCCTAGCAACGTCTAGGGTGAGGAAGAGCCGATCTACCTCTCGAAATTAGGTAATCTTTGCTTGTTTGCATTTTTTTTTAAATAAAAGCAGCTTTCGTTTGAGTTTTTCATCTCTCTTATTGTTTCATTGTGGCTTTGCTCACTAAGTTTGGATCCGAAGCATATCAAATTAGTATCAGAGCCTTGAACTTGGTGAGATGGAGGCAACAAAGAAAATGGATGAGCTAGAAGGAGGGGCAGGACAAATCAGATCAGAGATGGAAGAGAGATTTGCCACTATTGAGGACATGTTTTCTTCCATTAAAAGTCGAATGGAGGATGGATTTGAAAGCATAGGAGAAATACAGAAGATGATGAAAAAACTCATGAAGATGCAATCCAAGGTAGTGCTTATAACTCCAGTTGCAAACCTTAACCAAGGGTTGATCAGAGAAATCCTTGGCAAAGTAAAAAAGAAATAAGATCGAGCGAGAAGCCGAGGAAGACAACATCTACCAACACGAGCGTCCCCATAGGACTTCGAGAGGAGGGGGAGTGGAGACTCCAAATGAAGGGTTTTGGGCCGAAAATTGGAGGAGAGATGGTGTAAGGGGCTCAGAAGCAGTGGAGGAAAAAAGGAATCGGGAGTTGGGTAAGTCTATGACCGGAGGAGGGAGTTTCACCCTAGATACATGGGAGTAAAAATCAGAGGAAGAGAAAGTTGGGGTAGAGATGCAAGGGTCGGAAAAGTGAAGATGTCGATCTTCAAAGTGGAGGATGCACATGGGTGGGTGTATCAGATGGAAAAGTATTTTGCACTAAATGAATTATCTGAGGAAGAGAAACTCATGATAGTGAGATTATACTTGAAGGGGAAGGCTTTAGCCTGGTTTCAGTGGATAAAGGCAAGGTATTCGATGCATTCATGAGAGGAGTTTAATGATTGCTTATTGGAGCCTTTCCGAGCAATTTGGGAATGAGAGCCACATGAACAATTCTATGCTCTGACTCAGGAAAGGACGGTTACGGAATACTGAAAGAAGTTCGAGCTCTTAAAAGGAAAGTTGAGGGGTATTTCTGTAGCAGAAATGGAACGGAACTTCTTGAAAGGTCTAAAGCCCGACATTCGAGCAGCCATCCGACCCATGAGAACGCGTGGATTGAGAGAAATGATGAAACTCACCCAGATGATGGAGGATAAGAAACAAGTGAAAAAGACCAGCAAAGGCAGCAGCACCGGAGAAATCTACAAGAGCCCCTTGACAACTACAACGCCGAGGACCTAGACAGTGTTATTTCAGAGAGAGACATCGAAAGAGAAAAATATAGGAACACGTCTAGGGGGTAGTTTCAAACACCTCACAGATGCAGAAGTGCCGGATAAAAGAGCAAAATGATTGTGTTACTGTTGTGATTAGAAATATGCCCCAGGCAACCGATGCAAGGAGCGCGCCCTTCAGATTCTTTTAGTTTAGGAGGAGGATATAGAGCGTAAGGAATCAGTGGAGGAGACGGAGGAGCATCTGCATTTGGATGTGGGGAGATGTTCCTCAATTCAATGGTGGGATTTACTCCAAATTACACCCTGAAGGTGAGGGAGTGGATTGGAGAATAACCGATTGTGGTGTTGGTGGATAGCGGAGTTACACATAACTTCATCTCAAATCAGGTTGTGGAGAAGCTAGGGTTGGAGCTGGTGAATACAGGGAGCTTCAGCGTAAGATATTGGTTTTGACACTACATGACTTACAGGTGGTGGTGAATTTCCTTCTTTTAGATTTGGACATCACATATGTGATTTTGGGGATAAAGTGGTTGTGAAC